TATGGAAAAGAAATTCTGAAAATGTAACAATTATCTTTTTGAATTCACTTAGAACAAGGTGTACCCAAGAGAACACTTACCAGGAAATGACGACCAGCAGTGCAGTGATAGGTCACCACTCTTCAGCTGTCCTCTGAAGTCAAATATCATTGTGTTCACCCATGCAATTGGATAGTGCTAATGGTGAAGGAAGGATTTGCATTTATCTCATGCCTTTTACAATCTTAGGGCTTGTTAAAGTTCTTTATAGCCAAAATATGCAGTTCTTGTTACAGCTGTAAGGAAATGGGAGTGGGATTGATTGTTTGGGGGGGGGGGCAACAGTGCAAGGGTGCTTGTGCTTCAACAGTATAGAACACTTTCTGGCCTCGGAGGGCTATGGAGTGGATTCACTGGCGCATACTACAACTTAGAGGGTTAAATTATGAAAACACATACCAGAAACCTGAGGTTACTGAGGAAGGAAGGGTGCGATTGTGACCCAAAAGTCTAGTCCATGCATTGATTACCCTCTGAGGAACAATAAAAAGTTGATGCTAAAAGATGTTGGTCTTGCTCATTCGGTACAATCATCCATTCCCATGCTGGATCTGAGGCAACAACATGTTTAATTCTGTCTTCCGGCTAACAAGACAACCAGAGGCAAATGGGAGATCTGACAGAACATGGAATTTGGGAGTCCAAGCGCAATTTATCAAGGATGCACTCCTTCAGTGAGAGTGGAATTTTTTGATCAACACCTGGTATGACATTGTTTATCCACTAGATGGAGGCTTGGCCAACTCGTGACGAGCAAATGGAGTAAAAACTGAAAGAACTGCAGATGCTGTGAATCAGGAACAAAAACAAAGTTGCTGGAAAAGCTCAGCAGGTCTGGCAGCATCTATGAAGAAAAAAAACACGAGTTAACGTTTTGGGTCCGGTGACCCTTCCTCAGTCATGCTGAGCTTTTCCAGCGACTTTGTTTTTGTTGCAGCAAACGGAGTAAATGTGAAGGAGAAAAGCAAACCCAACCACAAATTAAAATTACAGGCCCCCATTACTCTCTCAAGCCACACAGCACATGTTCAAGACAAACAACTCCTGCCTTGCAAAATCATAGCTTATGTGATTATAAGCAACAGAATTAAAACTATTTTGCATCACAATTAGGAACACATTCACACAGTGTCATTGGTATGAAGCTTCGCATCAATGTAACCTTTTTAAGAGTATGCAAGGTATAACAGATTGAGCTGATTCCTAAAAGAAACAGATTAAGATTCTTTCTTCTCAAAGTCCTCAGAACATTTTATTCTGGCATCAATAACATAAATAAGGTGCATTTATGTCATGCCTTTAATGCAGTCAACCATCACCAGGCTTTTTTTTCAAACAGGCACATCAAACAAAATTTGACATTAGACCACATTAGATATTAGGACAGGCGATTAGTAATTTGGCAAAGACGCAAGTTATAAGGAATGCCTTTAAGAAGGAAAGTAGCAGAGAGGCTCAACAGTCTGGATGTTTAAGTGCCAGTTGAGCTTCCAGGCTATAATTGCAAATTAACTGCACTGCCTTTACAAAATGAAACCACTTACACAGATCCTACGGTTGCTATCAGAATGTAGACTTAGCAAGGCTACTAAGGCATAGACAAAGTGTAGAAACTAACCACTTTTCCCGCTTTCCGAATGGTCTGGTATTTGGTCACATTCTTTGTTGATTTCTGTTTCTTCACTTTATCCATCACTCCATACACAGCAAAACAGAGTCGGGACATTCTTGGCAGATCACAGACATTTATCTCAAAGTCCAGTGTCTCATTCCATACAAGGTCATTTTTCCCAGAAATCTCGTTGCTTACAACAGGTTTACAAAGGAGTTCAGTTCCATGGAAAATCCCAGCCCTGACCTGAACCTAAAGAACAAAAAACCCATGATTAATATCTGGACTGTGACAAAATGTAAAGAGCTGTTTCAGAATTACAGTACAATTTCATGAGATGGTTCATGTGAAATCTTTTTACAAGTTCATGACCAATGAGATTTTCTTCACATATAAATCACTACAATAACATAAACCTAACTTGCCAGGTCTGTATAGCAGATAAACTCAACCAAACAGCAGCCACATACTTGCTATGTTTGGTGAATTCGTACAGATCCTCATTCTTTTTCCCTGTAAAACAGGTGTTCCAGAATTAGAATCAGTCACAGAGTCAGAGTCAGAGAGATATACAGCACGAAAGCAAATCCTTCGGTCCAACTTGCCCATGCCAACCCGATATTCCAGATAAATCGAGTCCCATTTGCCAGCATTTGGTCCCTATCTTTCTAAACCCTTCCTAGTCATATACCCATCCAGAAGCCTTTTGAATGTTGTAATTGTACCAGCCTCTATCACTTCCTCTGGCAGCTCATTCCACATACGCACCACCCTCTGCATGAAAACATTGCCCCTTAGGACCCTTTTAAATCTTTCCCCTCTCACCTTAAACCTATACCCTCTAGTTTTTGACACCCTACCCCGGGAAAAGACCTTGTCTATTTACCTTATCCATGCTCCTCATGATTTTATAAACCTCTTTAAGGTCACCCCACAGCCTCTGACGCTCCAGGAAAAACAGCCCTAACCTATTTAGCCTCTCCCTATAGCTCAAACCCTCCAACCCTGACAACATCCTTGTAAATCTTTTCTGAACCCTTTCTAGTTTCACAACATCCTTCCTAAAGCAAGGAGACCAGAATTGCACACAGTATTCCAAAAATGGCCTAACCAATGTCCTGTACAGCCACAACATTACCTCCCAACTCCGTCACTCAATGCACTGGCCAATAAAGGCAAGCATGCCAAACACCATCTTCACTATCCTATCTACCTGGGACTCCACTTTCAAGGAACAATGAAACTGCATTTCAAGATCTCTTTGTTCAATCCCTTTCCACAACACACAATGATTCAATCCACATTGTGTTATTTTTCTTTCGTAATCTAATGGGACGAACACCAATAATGTGCCAAAAGGAGTTCTTCTCGATCACATTTTGAAATGTCCCATGATCATAAAGGGTTCCAAATGAAATCAGGTCTTTCTTTAAGAGATAGTAGGAACTGCCTATGCTGGGGTCTGAGATAACAATTAGTAGAGCTGGATGAACACAGCAGGCCAGGCAGCATCAGGGGAGCAGGAAAGCTGACGTTTCGGGTCTCGACCCTTCTTCAGAAATGGGGGAGGGGTAGGGGGCTCTGAAATAAATAGACTGAGGGGGAGGTGATGATGGAAGGTGAATAGAGGAGCAGATAGGTGGAGAGAAGACAGACAGATCAAGGAGGTGGGGAGGAGGCTAGTAGGTAGGAAGTCGGGGTGGGGTTTGGTCAGTGAGGTGGGAGGAGCAGATAGGTGGGAGAAAAAAAACAGACAGGTCAATTAGGCAGGGATGAGCTGGGCTGGTCTTGGGATGAGGTTGGGGGTGGGGAGATTTTGAAGCTTGTGAAGTCCACAATCAGACCATTGGGCCGCAGGGTTCCTAAGTGAAGTATGAGATGCTGTTCTTCCAGACTTTGGGTGGCATCGTTGTGGTACTGCAGGAGGCCCAGGATGGACATGTCGTCTAAGGAGTGGGAGGGGGAGTTGAAATGGTTCGCGACTGGGAGGTGTAGTCGTTTGTCACGAACCAAGTATAGGTGTTCCACAAAGCGGTCTCCAAGCCTCCGCTTGGTTTCCCCGATGTAGAGGAGGCCACATCGGGAACAGCTGATACAATATACCACATTAGCAGATGTGCAGGTGAGCATCTGTTTGATGTGGAAGGTTTTCTAGGGGCCTGGGACGGGGGGAGTGCAGGGGCAGGTGTAGCACTTCCTGTGGTTGCAGGGAAAAGTGCCGGGGTGGTGGGGCTAGTGGGGAGTGTGGAGCAGATGGGGGAGTCACGGAGGGAGCAGTGGATAAGGGTGGAGAGGGAAAAATGTCCTTGGTAGTGGGGTCAGATTGCAGATGGCGGAAGTGTCAGAGGATGATGCGTTGGTACGCGAGGACGAGGGGGATTCTGTCTTTGTTGTTGTTGCAGGGAGGGGGTGTGAGGGATGAGTTGCGGGAAATGCGAGAGATGCGGTCAAGGGAGTTTTCGACCACTACGGAGGGGAAGTTGCGGTCCTTTAAAAAGCGAGGACATCTGGGATGTCCGGGAGTGGAATGCCTCATCTCAGGAGCAGATGCGGCGGAGGCAAAGGAATTGGAAATAGGGGATGACATTCATTGCATGAAGGTGGGTGAGAGGAGGTGTATTCTAGGTATCTGTGGGAGTCGGTGGGGTTGAAATAGATATCAGTTTCCAGGTGGTTGCCAGAGATGGAAACAGAGAGGTGCAGGAAGGAGAGAGGGGTATTGGAGATGGTCCAGGTGAACTTAAGTTTGGGGTCGAAGGTGTTAGTAAAGTGGATGAACTGTTCGAGCTCTTCATGGGAGCATGAGGTGGCACCGATACAGTCATCGGTATAACAGAGGAAGAGGTGGGGGATAGGGCCAGTGTAGCTGCGGAAGAGACTTTCTTTAAGTCTTCCCCAAACTGGAAGAACATGCAGTTTCGTTGAGACTTGGGCATGGGGTGGGGTGGGGAAGGTGAATTTTAAATCTCCCATTCAAAACTGAAGAGCTGGAAAGAGCTCAAAATTTACTTCAGACTACCTTGGAAGCATTACATAATTTTGCCTTTCCCTCTTCTTTACCTGTCTTTCAACCCATTTCTTGTCCACTGAAGTAAATATTCAAACTTGGATTCCACATTGTTAGTTAATGGCTCTTCAGTTTGGTTGACTGAAGAGGAAAGTTGTTGAAACAGATTCCCAGCAAAGGGCACAGAGCTGAAGCAGCTCTCTAATCACTGTACATTGCCATCCAAAACCCTCTAAATGTTTGTATGCAGCTGTAAGTGTAATGGATGGCAAGTATCATTTGTTCACTATTGACCAGCACGGTAGCTCAGTGGTTAGCACTGCTGCCTCACAGTGCCAGGGACCTGTGTTCGATTCCAGCTTCTGGTGACTGTTCAGATTCCACCTGCACATTCTCCCTGTGTCTGCATGTGTTTCTTCTGGGTGCTCCAGTTTCCGCCCACCGTCCTAAGATGTGCAGGTTAGGTGGATTGGCCATAGTGAAATTGGCTGCAGCGTTCAGGAACGTGTAGGCCAGGTAGATTAACCACGGGAAATGTGGGGTTACAGGATAAGGTAGGGGGCTTAGTCTGGGTGGGATGTCCTTTAGAGGATTAATACGAACTCAATGGGCCAAATGGCTTCCTTCTGTACTATAAGGATTCTATGATTGCAAAATCAAGGCCATTGTAACCAACACAATTTTTATATATATGGCTTGTCAATATGGATTCAGAAGCTTCGGTATAAAGACATCCCAGGCAAAAGTGTCATACAAATAAAGAAGCAGGAGGAAGCCCTTCAAATTGGCCTCACCTTTCACCTCATGGCTGATCGGACTATAAATTAAATATACATTCCCATCTATCCCTGATAACCTCTCACCTTCTGTTGACTAGGAATCGGTCTAAATTCTGTTTAATCAGCTTTTCAGGAGAAACATCTGAAGGCTCAACCCGCTTTTGGAAATAAAATCTTGTCTCAACTCAGATTTAAAACAATACTTTGTTAATAAATAAAAAAGTCATCTCCAGTTCAAGACTCCCTCATAAGAGGAAGCACCCTCTCCACATCTCCTCTGTCAAGACTCTTCAGGATTTTGTACATTTTGATCCCATCACCTCTACTCTTCTAAACACCAGAAGACACAAGCCTAGTCATTACAACATTTCCTCACAAGTCAATTTGTCCATTTCATCTTGGAGATCTACAATCTCTCATCGCTTATAATAATATCATTATTTTTAGTTCTACTTGCCAAAAATGGACAATTGCACATTTTCCCTCTCCATTTACTTTGTTTGCCACACCCTTGACCATTCTCTTTCAAATCATACAATGACAAATACAATAATTGCCTTGAGTTAATTTTATACCCAAGAGTCAAACCATACTCTATTAAAGCAATTTTACTAACTCAGCTATTTCTGTTCTCCCAAATGACTTCAGCAAAGTTGGTGGAAAGTGACTACTACTCAGGTTAATGACCTTGGAACCTTTAGCCAGAGATGGTTCAGCCACAAACCATGGCACTTTAGCCACAGCTAGGGAAGTAGAGTCCAGCTGGCTTTCCCTCAACAGGCACAGTAGCATTTGAGACATGGGAAGGAATGAGATATGTTGACATTCTGGAAGAGGGCAAACAGTAAAAGAGAGCGAGAGGCATTACAGACAGAAAACAGAAATAAATATTCAAAGAGAGCAAAGAATAGATAGAAGCAGAATGGAAATGCAGATCAACTGGACCAGGTTGCACTAATGGCTCTGGTCTCCCTCTCTCTCTCAAGGGGAGGAACAAATATTTGCTCACTAAAGTCAGAATACTACTTAAACTGAAATACAGACAGAGGTTGAACGGTCACGTTGCCTCGTACAAATAGTAAAATAAGAATCCAAAGGTGACCCGAGAACTTTCTATGAGATTGCAATTGTATTTCTGTCGGGGTTATCATTTGGAGTTGTGACATGCTTTGTGTGACTTTGAACTAATTACATTACACAATTTGTGTTAGTGCAAAGAAAACTACTACTATGCATTAGCAGCAAGTGTTGCAACTCATCTGAGAGTGCACCTATGCACTACTTCTAGATTATTTGAGGCACTATTTCTTAGAATAGAATGAAGAGCAGATATATCTCCCTGATCAGTTATAGTAAGCTAATTTTGAACATTGAAGAATATGAGCTGTAATGTATTGTTGTCTTTTTAAACATTGTGAGGCTGTACACAGTCACTGTGTACAAAATGCGTTTGGCCGCATTGACAACATGGCAGATTGTGTCACATTCATAATTCTATCCATTTTAAAATAGTGATGGAACAGGATAGACTGGATCTAAAAGTTAAAATTTTTAATTGGAGGAAGACCAATTTCAACAGTATCGGGCAAGAACTTTCAAAAGCTGATTGGTGGCAGATGTTCACAGGTAAATGAACGGTTGGAAAATGGAAGGCTTCAAAAAAAATGAGACGACGAGTGTCCAGGGACAGTACATTCCTGTTTGGGTGAAGGGCAAGGCTGGTAGGCATAGGGAACACTGAATGACTAGAGGAATTGAGGTTTTGGTCAAGAAAAAGAAGTAAGATATGCCAGGTATAGACAACAGAGATCAAAAATCCTTAGAAGAGTACAAAGGCAGTAGGAGTATACCTAAGAGGGAAATCAGGAAGGCAAAAAGGGAACATGAGATAGCTTTGGCAAATAGGGTTAAGGAGAATCCAAAGGGATTCTACAAATACATGAAGGAAGAAAGGGTAACTAGGGAGACAATAGGGCCCCTTAAACATCAGCAAGACTGCCTGTGTGTGGAACCGCAGGAGATAGGGGAAGAAACCAAATAAGTATTTTGCATCAGTGTTTACTGTGGAGAAGGATATGGAAGAAATAGAACGTGAAGAAATAAACAGCGGCATCTTGAAAAACGTCCATATTGCAGAGATGGCGGCACTGGAGGGCTTAAAATGCATAAAGGTGGATAAATCCCTGGGATCTGATCAGGTGTACCCTAGAACTCTGTGTGAAGCTAGGGAAGTGATTGCTGGGCCTCTTGCTGAGATATTAGAATCATCGATGGCCGCAGATGAGGTGCCGGAGGACTGGAGGTTGGCTAATGCAGTGCCACTATTTAAGAAAGGTGGTCTGGAAAAGCCAGGGAACTATAGACCAGTGGGCCTGACATCAGTGGTGGGCAAGTTGTTGCAGGGAATCCTGAGCAACAGGATTTACTTGTATTTGGAAAGGCAAGGAATGATTAGGGATACACAACATGGCTTTGTGCATGGAAATCATGTCTCACCACTTAATTGAGATTTTTGAAGAAGTAACAAAGAGGATTGATGAAGACAGAATGGTGGATCTGATTTATACAGGCTTCAGTAAAGCATTTGACAAGGTTCCTCATGGTAGACTGGTTAACATGGTTAGATCACATGGAATTCAGGGAGAAATAGCTATTTGGATCCAGAACTGACTTGAAGGTAGAAGACAGAGGGTGGTGGTGGAGGGTTGCTTTTCAGACTGAGGCTGTGACCAGCGGTGTGCCACAAGGATCAGGGCTGGGTTCACTGCTTTTCGTCATTTATATAAATGATTTGGATGTGAACAATGGAAGTATGGTTAGTAAGTTTGCAGATGACACCAAAATTGGAGGGATAGTGAACAGCAAAGAAGGTTACCTTGCAGTACAATGGGATCTTGATTGGATGTGCCAACGAGCCAAGGAGTGGCAGATGGAGTTTAATTTAGATGAATGTGAGGTGCTGCATTTTGGAAAGGCAAATCAGGGCAGGACTTATACACTTAATGGTAAGGTCCTGGGAAGTGTTGCTGAACAAGGAGACCTCAAAGTGCAAGTTCTTTCTTCTGTGAAAGTAAAGTCACAGGTAGATAGGATAGCGAAGAAAGCATTTGGTACGCTTGCCTTTATTGGTCAGTGCATTGAGTTAGGAGGTTATGTTGCAGCTGCACAGGACAATGGTTAGGCCACTTCTGGAATACTGTGTTTGATCCTGGTCTCCCTGCTATAGGAAAGATGTAGTGAAACTTGAAAGGATTCAGAAAAGATTTACAAGGATGTTGCCAGGGTTGGAGGGTTTGACCTATGGGAAGAGACTGAATAGGCTGGAGCTATTTTCCCTGGAGTGTCAGAGGCTGAGGAGTGACCTTATAGAGGTTTATAAAATCATGAGGGCCATGGATAGGGTAAATAGACAGGTCTTTTCCCTGGACCAAGAGAGTCCAAAACTAGAGGACATAGGTTTAAGGTGAGAGGGGAAAGATTTAAAGAGAGACCTGAGGGGCAATGTTTTCACGCAGAGAGCGATGCGTATATGGAATGAGCTACCAGGGGAAAGGGTGAAGGCTGGCACAATTACAACATTTAGAAGGTACCTGGACGGGTATATGAATAGGAAGGGTTTATGAGGGATATGGGCTAAATGCTGGTAAATGGGACTAGATTTATTCTGGATACTTGGTCAGCATGGACATGTTGGACCAAAGAGTCTGTTTCCTTGTTGTACATCTCTATGAGTCTGATGACTCTGAAGACAGAACACTAAGCAGAGTAAGAATACCAAGCTTTTCTGAAGCGAACTCCGGACATTTTTTAATGCCCATTACAAAGTCAGGCCATGAAAAGACATGAAAAGTAAGATGTTTTTCACACATTTACTGCTTTACTGTTTTTAACAGTTTAAAAAAAAACGTGGATCACATTTGCAGGCAAATCAGGTGACACAAAAACCTCCTTGGCCACCTCAAAACTTCAACGAACACAAATTTATGGACAGATTCCCTCCGATTCGTCTTAGAATTTTACTGGAGAACGCACATTTTTATCACTCAAATTAAAAGTGTTATTTATGATACTTACCCGTAGTGCTTCATCTGCATTTATTTTGATCCCACGAGTGAGAACAATCTTGAAAGGACTATTTATATCCCAAACGTTACCTGCCATTTGCTAGTAAACAAGGTATAAAAAATAAACAAATAAATGACTTTGTTTTGATATTTGAATAGTAATCGTTAAGCATGGTATCAAAGACAACATTGTGCGTAAAACCATCTGAACAGATTGACTAGAAATTATCTTTTTTAAAAAATGCATTAAGTTGTATCTGTTTGCAGCCTGAATTTTCAATTTAAGAAGTCAGGTGCTGGGCAAAACTTTAATGATACACCATGGTTTCCAACCAAAGTAGCTACACTAAAGCAAAATACTACTGACGTGATTAAATTACAGTAAACCATTGCGAACTAAAGGAGTGGTGCATTTTTAAGTCATATAATTTATCCTAGTTATTTTATGCCTATTTCAGCTTCAGGCTGTTAGTTATATATAGTAAATATGCTATAAAGCTGTTTCTAGGAAGCATTAAAAAAGCACAGCTGGCAAAGTGTTTGCATGACTCTGCTGTTAACAAGGAAGTCATAAATAACACATGGAATGTCAGAGAATTACTGCAGGGGTCATTTTTAGTTAAATTCAGTTGTATTTATTGGGAACAATGAAGAAAGATAATGACTGGTGAGATATACATGGAATTTCTGAAGATGTATTAATATTCCAAATGGTTAAATATGGATTTTAATTCACCTTCAAAAAATAAATGTTCAGAATTTTTTTAAAAATACTAAAGCATAGAAGCAGACCAATTTGCATCAAGATCAGTGTTGAGCATTCAACAGTTAATTCTAGACACAATGGGACAATTACTTGCTTTTCTGTCATTAGAATAGAGCACAGCAAATCTATTTTCAGACATTTCCTTCCACTCATAATCCTATATTCACTGATGTAGAATGTACAAGACAGCAAGTATAATTTCATTGACAGACAATGGAAACCATAGGTTCTCAGTGAAATGCACACTTTAGAAAAAAAAACACATTTTCATTTAACTATCACAGCACCTGTCGAAAGCATTACCATTCTACACCAGGTAAGGAAACTATCATTTAAAAATAATTGCATTCATCTAGTATCTATAAGCAACTTCAGTGTTGGCCTAACGTGCCTCACCTCTAACAATGTAACTTTGAATGCCCTATAAAAAGCAATGCAATTACCATCATACTATCTGTGCTTGGGTGTTAGATGAGGAATAAACATTGGTCAAGACTCCAAGGAGAACTCTGCTCTTCTTCAAAATACTGCCATGTGATGTATTTTATCTACTTCAAAAGGCAGCTCGACGTCTCTTTGAAAGAAGGCACCTTTAAAAAGCATAGCACTTTTTAGCATGGAGCTTTAGATATTTCAGATCAGGTCTTCAGATATAGGTGCAAGACTGCTACCAACTGACTAATTGGGAGGTAGGGAGACTTTTACCAGATCTCCTGGTCACTATGTTTTCTTGAAACAAACAATTTTATAATTAATATTTCCAAGACAAGTATATTTGAGCAAATTATACCACGCTCAATTTTTAACCAATTGTTCTTCCCCTTCTGCCCCTTCACATGCCATTAGATTTTTTGTAGATTATACTTCCATGGGCAACCCAGTTGTTCACTATTCATCTGAATTCAAGTCCAGCTTATAACCAAGGTCACCAGATCAAGTAAAATTCCACCCAAACTTAAAGCATAAAGAGCCAATTACTATTCCCACTGCAATCCAGCAAACAACAGTGAACACAACATAAACCTGAAGTAGACATGCTTGAAACCTTACCATTGTATATTTGACTAAACATGCAAATTTAAGATGCATTATTTAAAATGATAGATACTAAATCAAGACAAATGCTAACAACATAATCTCTTACAGAAATGGTCCGTCTCTTGGGTGGCAAAGGAAGAGGAGGAGTGGATGATTTCCGATGCAAGGCGATACCAATAGCTGACATTTCACGATCACACATCTCCTTAATTGTCCTGCAGTCAACTAGAGTCAGCTGAGGGTGGATTCCTTTTGACACGCAATTTCTTATATACTTAAAAAGGTATAGAAATCAAGGATTACATGGGATACCTTGTTCTTATCTAAAGGAACACTTAAACCACACAATAGCATCTTGATAACCACATTCAGAAACACATTCAAAAATACAAGCCATGCAGACAGTGCAGCAACAAAAATAGTTTGAAAATAAGAAATTTACAAATGGAAATTTAAAAGGAGGATTGATTACAATAAAGCTTGGTACACCATAAGATCAATGGATTAATAATTAAATGAATAGGTTCAAGTAATTGTAACAGGTAAAAGGGAAATGTACAATATTTCAAAACTTGGTAAATGATAGGATCAATAAAATTAACGTCAGTTCTCAGTGTACTGTGACAATACCATGTTCTACCTCATATTACTTCTCAATATCTCCACTGTTGCTAACTATCAGTCTGCTCACCAACATTCAGAACTGGACGAACAGAAACTCGGGTTGAATAAATACTTGGGAAGACTGTAGCCAATGCTACCAGACCTCATTTCATACACCATTCCCTAGATACTGAATCCAGCCTCCTCCCTGACGACTTTGAGACTAACTAAAGAGTATTCCTCATTTGACATAGCCTTGCTTAAATGTTGTTTCACTTGAATCATGTTTTTTTCTTGCAAGCTTCTTTCTTTGAGTTACATTGGTATTTCTTACATTATGCACTGTGTATCAGAATGCCATCTCCTGTCAGAGTCATCTGATGTCAGGACCGAATTGGCAATCTTCAATCTCTGCTGACTAGAGACTGAAGATAAGAAGCCATTGGCCACCAACAGGTAGGCTAATGGGTCCATGTCAGCCCTGCTGGCTTCTGGAAGGAAGCACCAAAGATACTTTAAATGAAGGTCCATGAGTTAAAATAGTCTAAGCTTTATGCATAGGAATCTACATCAGAGGATATACCATCAATCTCATGGCATGTATTCAGCTATTTTTTATTATAATGTCAATTAAACAAGCATTTCAAGGGCAAAAGGGGAACAGCTAGGGAATGTCATGAGCACCAAAATCATACAAACATTTATGTAATCACTAATGTAAATTACAGCATTGAATAGCATTGGTTCAGAGCTGCACCCTTTGTAACAAATTCAGAACTTGTGTTCAGTCCTTGTATACTTGTTCAAATAAACGTGGATTTTTTTTGCTTATCCATTAAAATCAGGCTTTTTTTGTAAGGTATGTCAGCTAGGACTGCAAAGTGCCAATATATATATTTATAATATATGTTACAGTATTTCAAATTGTACATGGGCAGGAAAACGTACCAAGGAACCCAGCTCTAACTTGAACATTAATTCCTAACGAAACCCATTTTTCACTTAAAGTCATTTCACTTCAAGTCGTGATTTCACTCCTGAAAATCACTGTGGTGCATGAGGACCAAGTGCAGTTTGTTTGCAATCTTGGTTTCATATTTGACTCCAAAAGAAGATTCCCAACAAATGTGTGCCATCACAAAAAGACTGCCTATTTTCACATGTGAATCATTGTCCAACTTCAATCCTATCTTAGCTCTTCTATTGTTGACACTCTAACCCAAGTCCTCTTACCTCTAGACTCGACTATTCCAATGGTCTGAGACAACAAGGTGCAGAGCTGGATGAACACAGCAGGCCAAGCAGCATCAGAGCAGCAGGAAGGCTTTTGATGTTTCGGGCCTAGACCCTTCATCAGAAATGGGGGAGGGGAAGAGGGTTCTGAAATAAATAGGGAGAGGTGGGGAGGCGGAAAAAAGATGGATAGAGGAGAAGATAGGTGGAGAGGAAACAGTCAGGTCAAAGAGGCAGGGATGGAGCCAGTAAAGGTGAGTGTAGGTGGGGAGGTAGGGAGGAGATAGGTCAGTCCAGGGAGGACGGACAGGTCAAGGGGGCGGGATGAGGTTAGTAGGTAGGAGATGGGGGTGGGGCTTGAGGTGGGAGGAGGGGATAGGTGGGAGGAAGTACAGGTTAGGGAGGCGGTTTGACATTTCGGGGATGCTGCTTGGCCTGCTGTGTTCATCCAGCTCTGCACCTTGTTGTGTCAGATTCTCCAGCATCTGCAGTTCCTACTATCTCTATTCCAATGCGCTGCTGGCTGTTGTCCAATGTTCTACCCTCTAAATGTAACCATGCCCAAAACTCATCCACTCATGTCTTCACTTGCACTAAATCCTGTCACCTATCACAGCAGTGCTCAATGTCTTGCACTGGCTCCTGGTCAGGTGATGTCCAGATTTTCAAATTCTTATTCTCATTTTCAAATTCTTCCACAGACTCAGTCCAACCCTATTTTTACTGTCCTCTAGCCCAACAAAATAAGTGCACACATCTAATTTTGGGCTCGAGTATCCCTTATTTTATTCTTTCTGCCTTGGTGATTGCATTTTCAGTTACACTGGGTACTCTCCATACACTTCTCTGTGTCTCTTTTCCTCCTTTACTAGACTATCTAAAAACTTCTTAAAACTTCTCATGTGTGTGAGTCATAATGTTTTATGATGCTTCTGTGAAGAACCCTGGGAATGTTACAAAAATAGACTTTGTTATGAAAATATCTCATTTTAAGTGTAGCAACAGCATATAAGTACTGATCAAATTAGACGTGCTAGTACGCTGCAATTGCTGCCACTAGACTCCTGGAAGCCTATATTTTATTGAGTCCTATTGGCTCCTGCTGGTTGTTCTTTTAAATGTAAATCTAAACTATTCCCATTTTGCTAGCAGGTGTAAACGAGCCCCTCCTCCCAGAGAAGCCTGACTGCAATAACTGCACTATTCACATTGTGCGCTGGTGTCCCTGTAGTCATTGAAGGTCTACATTTGTAAACAATCTTCGTGCCAGCTGGGTAATGCCGTCAGCAATTAAGTCATTGGACTGTAATTACTGGTACATGTGACTATATAAACCTAGTTTTGAGAGGATCTGAAGACCGCAATTAAAATTATCTGGTATCTGAAAAGCAGGAATCGTTTTAATATACCCGATTTCGGTCAACAACTTACACTAGAAAGAGGGTCACTGACTGACCATCAGAAGCTATTGGGTGTAGCAACACACAGGAAGTTAATAATAGCAATACTGCAGCAGAAATCTGTTCTTAAGTTAATTTGCTCTAAAGGGAAAGCTTCTTCTCCTCTACATTCTATAACGAGTGTATTTTAGTAGTGGTTCTATAATTTTCTATAATTTGTAGGTGTGTTTAAAGTAAGTATATTACTTCATATCACGTTTCTACATTTTATGCAACACTACTTAGATAAAAAGTTACAATGCTGTGATAAAGGCCATGCATTTTGTAACAATCTTGCAGGATGTGGAAGTCCCTGGATCGTCTGACAATTCAGGACAAACACAGTTGCAGGAATTATATCTGTTATATGTTCATTCAATATCAGTCAAGTAACTAGATAAAAACAGAAGAAACTCCATCACCTGTGAGAGGTTTAAATACCGAATCCAAGAAGGGGTTCACCTAACAACAGAGCAACAGAGTATGTGGTGGTAAGAGATACAGGAAACTCAATGTTATTACAATTACTCAGCTCTTCCTTCAGTCTTCTCCATGTCTGTTTGATAATCTGCTGTCTTTTCTTTTCTGGCAGCTTATATCTCACGGAGGAGGCTTCATGATAAATCATATCCAACAATCTGTTCTGAAAACTCTGCTTATGTTTTGACAACCACAACAAATTCCCTCATCACAGTTGAAACAGTCAATCATACTTTGTTCTAAATAATATGACCCATAACATTGTGAAAAGTGTATCAATATTCCCTTTCACTCAATGTTAACAGATCTTTTCAAAGAAATTCATGATCCAAATCCACTTCTTCAAAAGCTAAGATAACAATTAGTAGAGCTGGATGAACACAGCAGGCCAGGCAGCATCAGGGGAGCAGGAAATCTGACGTTTCGGGTCTAGGCCCTTCTTCAGAAATGGGGGAGGGGAAGGGGATTCCGAAATCAATAGGGAGAGAGGTGGAGGCGGATAGAAGATGGATAAAGGAGAAGATAGGTGGAGAGGAGACAGACAGGTCAAAGAGGCAGGGTTGGAGCCAGCAAAGGTGAGTGTAGGTGGGGAGTTAGGGAGGGGATAGGTCAGTCCAGGGAGGACGGACAGGTCAAGGAGGCAGGATGAGGTTAGTAGGTAGGAGATGGGGGTGGGGCTTGAGGTGGGAGGAGTGGATAGGTGGGAGGACAGGTTAGGGAGGCGGGGACAAGTTGGGCTGGTTTTGGGATGCGGTTGGGGGAGGGGAGATTTTGAAGCTTGTGAAGTCCACATTGATACCATTGGGCTGCAGGTTTCCCAAGCGAAATATGAGATGCTGTTCCTGCAACCTTCGGATGGCATCGTTGTGGCACTGCAGGAGGCCCAGGATGGACATGTCGTCTAAGGAGTGAGAGGAGGAGTTGAAATGGTTCGTGACTGGGAGGTGCAGTTGTTTGTTGCGAACCGAGCGTAGGTGTTCTGCAAAGTGGTCCCCAAGCCTCTGCTTGGTTTCCCCGATGTAGAGGAGGCCACAACGGGCACAACAAAAGCTAATTTGTTTTTCCATGGAGTCTTATCCTATCTGCTTACCAGGTTTTGTTACAAACTGTCCATTTGATTTTTGAGCTACATTATTTACTAACCAACTAGAAAACAGGGGCAAAACCATTACTTCTGTGGAACAAATACTCAACAAGACTGTTTAAATCCTTTAGCAAATACCAAGCATTTTCTGACCTACTTATTTTTTTCCCCCGTCAGTAATGTTGTTAGGCAGAAAGGAAAGAGATATTTCAACAACTTGTATACAATCTTTCAGTGCAAGCATTTGGAAATGCCTTAAAAACAGTCAAAAACTAGCATTTTTCCAGTAAGTGCCACAAATGATAAAAACTGGTAAGGTGTTCTGGGCATAGATCATGTGAAAATTAAGGCCCAGGTAATGAAAAGATATTTTAAGAAACCCAAGAATCTGAAGTACAAAGATTGCAGTTTCCTTTACACAAATACAGTTTGGCAGATCGTCTTCATGTAACATACATGTTTTATCTAAAACTGTTATGCACATTACACAAATGTTAAGCTCCAAAAAGTTTAAATATCAGAGATTTTTCTCTGCACTTCCTTCCCTTTCTCCTTTGCCCACCTCACAAGGTAGTATTTACATGTCAAGTACAGAAGAGGCAGGCAAATAAATTGCTTCACATTTTACAAAACTACCTGTTGTATTTGACGCAAGTTCTTGCAACGTACCCGGAATTGAATCAGTGGCTGCTCGCCAAACAGGTATTCCTGCTTTCCACTTATGCGCAGCACAAAATCTCTGGGATTGAACTCCTCATTCTCTTTCCCATGGTTGGTCAGCTGTTTCCGAATGGCAAGCTCATTTAAGTGAAGGGGATTCAAGTTTGGAGATACCTGGAAATTGAAGATGTCCTGCAAGGAGAGAGAGAACTAACCGTTCTGAATCTGCATTGAAAAAAACAGGTCTTGTAAGACACAAGACATGCAATGCTTATTGCCTTCAAACATTGGTTTATAATGGAAAAGAAAAGTTTAAAATACCAAACAGTTTGTGACCATGACTGTAGAGAAGCAAAGATAATCTTCTTCTGTCTATGCCATCCTATTACCTTGATTCCACTGTAAAAGGACTTTCTTTTTATGTTGGCATTTTCTTTTCACTAGCCTTCCATTCACTGTTCATCCCCACACCATAGACATGTGGGATACATTACTTCAGCATGGTTTTTCAGCATCTAATAGACTACTAAAGCTAACAAATAATCCCAAAATTTGGATGTCTAGGGTTCCTGCTCTAGGGCTTGCAAGCGAACTGTAAACTGCAGATGAGGACAGCAATGCCCTCAATTCCAACGTCTACTGTGAACATACAAATAACATTAGCTTGAGCAAGAAACCAAAGGCTGGGCTGTACCTGTAGCGCTGCAGCAAAATAAGCAATCAAGGTTAAAGAAATGTTAAGGGACATTGGTGGAAAAAGCTTGCTCCACGTTCACTTTAAAATACATTTTGTTTACACAAAAGAAATGGAGGAAAAGTAGGTCATTCTCTTAGAGCCAAAAATTTGACTTGTTTTTCAAACCTGCAGCTGTACAGTGATGGTCAGCAGACTGAGATTTCTAAGACCGCAGCCTTACTTTACAGTATCATTGTAACTACTTCTGGGAATGGAAGATTGTATCAAATACTAACCCAATTAACGATTCCACTAACACCAGCTGCACTCATTTAAAACAAAACTGTCTTTTAAAAAAATTACCACAGAAAAGAGACACAAAAAGTCACTGCTTAACATCAGCTTAAATCAAATCTTTGAATGATAATTATTCAGAAAATTGGCTCAGCGTATTACAGCAAAGGTCAAGGCTTATCAAGTTGTGAAAACTAATCCAGTACATATCCCTCTTTCACCATTTCCCTGTGATGCATGTCAAGTACTTGTTTAATTCCCTTTTGAAGGCTACTGTTGAATTTGTACCTACCCTATTGTCAGATAGTGCATTTCACATCCTAATCATCACATATCCCCACTTACTTACTCATTCTTCATCTCAGTTGAATTAGTAAAAAAAGACCTAACAACTGATCTAGGCATTCAGATGCTCCTCATTACCTACCATGCAGTGATATTGCTGGTGATCTAAGCAGGTCGACAACGGATGAGGACAGTCGCATTCTCAGCTATAGCATTCACCAATTTCATGGGAATGGCCATCAGTTGAGCAAGAGGAATTGGGGCTGGGCTGTACCTTTGAGGTTACAGCTCAGTCAGCAGTCCAGGTAAGGAAAACGTTCTTCCCCTCATGTCACCTCTGCTTCTTTCACCAATCACTTTCAAATCCATGCTCTTCCAATATTAACATTTCAGCCACTAAGAACATTCCTCTTTATTTACACAATCCTACCCTTTATGACTTAGGAAGCTAAGACAACTTACTGTCTCTGCTCTGCACAACCTCAGCTTCCCAAGCCTATCCATGTGAATGTAATCCCACACCCTTGAGACAATACAGTGTGGAGCTGGAGGAGCACAGTAGGCCAGGCAGCATCAGACGAGTAGGAGAGTCGATGTTTCAGGTCGGGACCCTTCAGCAGGGCTAATGAATGGTTCCGATCCGAAACGTTGACTCTCCTGCTTCTCTGATATTGCCTGACCTGCTGTGTTCCGCAGGCTCCACACAGTACTGACTCTAACTCCAACATCTGCAGTTCTTGCGATCACCTTTGAGACAATGTTAGTAATTTTCTTCTGCATCTTCTTCAAAGCCTTTACTTCTCTTTTGCAAAATATAGGTTAGAAATTTAGACACAATGCTTCAACTTGGGGTAAACCTGTGCTTTATTTAGGTTTAGCATCACTCCTTTGCTTTCATTCTGCCTTTTTTCTTTAAAATATAGCCCAGACATCTCATGCTATTTATTACTGTTTTGAAATTAGAAGGATGAGCCAATAAAGAGTTTTGTACGGCATTCATATGTCTCTCTCTTTTCTTACCAATAGTTTCTATTTTCTTGTCATATTCTTTCTACCAAATTGTGTCCCCTCATATTTTGCACTGAACTTCATCTTATCCCATCTATCTCCCCATTCCACCAGCATGGCTGTACCTCCTTGAGGTCAATTACTATATTTATCATTGTTTACTACTCTTCCAAGTTGTGTGCCATCTGCAAACTTAGAAATTACATTCTGTACCCATTAGTCTAAAGCCATTAATTTAGATCAACGTATATTAAGTATAGTAGTGGCCTTAGTGTGAAGCTTGACAAACTCCATTGCATGTCTTCATGGAACACGATTTACAATTTTCTTTTCTTTCCCTTGTCAATTTTACATCCATGTTACTATTCCTTTATAGCAAGGGTTTCAATTTTTCAACCAGGCCTAGTCTGTGGTACCTTACCAAATGTATTTTTAATAAAAACATATTTGTATTTTTGTAAGTCCATGTGGACAACATCAAATGCACAGGTCTCATACACTCTATCATCTCAATCAATTGAGTCAAACATAACTTGACCATAAATCAGTATAAACATGCACCACCGTGGCAAGAGGTTGGATCCTTTGATTGAATCATTTTCCGCATACATTGCAAATGCCTGATCTGAATTACTAACATTTCATATGTACATTTACAGGAGTAGAGATGGAGGAGACAACCCATATCACATCCACACCAGCTCTCGTCCATTAATCAATACTTAGCTAAGTAAGTGCATATTCTCTGGGGAATTATTATTTCTACATGCTTTCCCACGATCAACCTCAAACCGTTAAGACAGTAATTGCTGGGTTTATACTTCCCCTCCCATTGTTTAAACTTTGTTACATCAAAAGGTCCTTCTCCCATTGAAGGCAGCGGGCTTTCAATTCTGGTAGAATAATGTGCACAACCTGAGCAGAAACAAGGACAGAGATAGTAGGAACTGTAGATGCTGGACAATCTGAGATAACAAGGTGTAGAGCTGGATGAACACAGCAGGCCAAGCAGCACCAGAGGAGCAGGAAAGCTTCAAAATCTCCCCTCCCCCAACCGCATCCCAAAACCAGCCCAGCTTGTCCCTGCCTCCCGAACCTGTCCTTCCTCCCACCTATCCCCTCCTCCCACCTCAAGCCCCAGCCCCATCTCCTACCTACTAGCATCATCCCACCCCTTTGACCTGTCCGTCCTCCCTGGACTGACCTATCCGCTCCCTAACTCCTCACCTACACTCACCTTTACTGGCTCCACCCCTGCCTCTTTGACCTGTCTGTCTCCTCTCCACCTATCTTCTCCTTTATCCATCTTCTATCCGTCTCCCCCTCTCTCCCTATTTATTTCCAAATCCCCTTCCCCTCCCCCATTTCTGAAGAAGGGTCCAGACCCGAAACGTCAGCTTTCCTGCTCCTCTGATGCTGTTTGGCCTGCTGTGTTCATCCAGCTCTACACCTTGTTATCTCAGAAACGAGGACAGTCATTTTCAACAAGTAAAAGTCTAAGAGTGAAAAGGCAGATGAAAGGTCGATGAACAGCAAGCTAAATTGGAATCTAATGATTTTTTTTGAAATGCAGGAAACAAAGAACAAGTCAAGCAATGAGATAGTAAGAACTGTCGATGCTGGAGTCAGCAATAACACAAGTCAAGCAATGCCAGGTCCAGTTTTATTTAAAGTAGGATGGGTAAAATAATTCAGAAATCTACATTCCAAGCTTGGAGAGAAGAAACAGAATATGGGGCAAATATCCAAGACATTGTTTATGCAAAATTGGACTTTGCTTGAGTAGATAAGAACCCACTTTTCCTTCATCGGAACACAATAATGTTAGTTTTTCTGCCCTACCACTTCTCAACTTTGGAAGAATGTCAGATTTATATTTCCTGAATAAATGTTATTCAGCCAGTAACAGTATTTATCGGTTCTCCAGAAGCCACACTGATATTGACTCTCTCCCTGCCAAAGACAACAACTCTTCTGAAGAAATTAGAACCGGTGTCAGGAGTCAATTTAAAAAAAAACTTGAGAACAAGCTAGATTGCAGAAATTGAAAGGTTTCATGAAAAAAAACTTCTATGCAAAGTGTTGCTATCTTTCTGACAGAACAGGAATGCTTTACTATGGAATTAGTGGTAACCAAAGAAATAAGCTTGAGCAAAATACAATGCAGAGCTATCTGGACAATGACCGTATCTAGAGCAGGAAGCAAGCTGAAGTTTTCACTCCTCTACTTAACACAACCTAAGTTTCATGAACTCAATTAATTATCATTCACCCGGAGTAAAAAGTTGAACAAAGGCAAACCAGCTCCTAAGATCAGTTTAAAATCTAACTTAAATAAAAAAGAATTTTCTCAAAATTTCAAATAAGCTTAGGTCAATATCTTTGAATGCCACATTGCAATCACATGGGTTGCAGCAAAATTTGATATCACTCGAATTTACCCGAAGGGCCTTAAGTTGAATTTGCATTAGACAGAACAGCCTTCTCATACAGAAGGGATTCTGTTTCACCTTATACAATAATGTAAGGCCTTGGGTAGTGTTGTAGAAGAGAGGGACCTAGGGGTGCAGGTACATAATTCTTTGAAGTTTGTGTCACATACAGACAGGGTGGTTAAAAAGGCATTTAGCACGCTTGCCTTCATTGCTCAGTTCTTTGACTATAGGAGCTGGGATGTCCTGTTGAGGTTGTACAGGACATTGGTGAGGCTTCTTCTGGAATACAGTGTCCAGTTCTAGTCGCCCAGTCAAAGCAAGGATATTATTAAGCTGGAGAGGGTTCAGAAGAGATTTTACAGAATGTTGCTGGGTATGGAACGTTTGAGTTATAAAGAAAGGCTGGATAGGCTGGGACTTTTTTCACAATAACATATGAGGGTGAGAGGTGACCTGGTAGAAGTTTATAAAATAATGAGATGTATAGATAGAGTTGATGGTAGTTGTCTTTTCCCTAGGATGGGGGATTTCAAGACAAAAGAACACATTTTTAAGGTGAGAGGAGAAAGATTTTAAAAAAGACTTGGGCCAATTTTTTTTTTTAAACAGAGGGTGGTTCATGTGTGCAATTAACTTCCTGAGGAAGTGGTCGATGCATGTCCAATTACAATGTTTAAAAGATATTTAGATAAGTACATGAATAGGAAAGATTTGGAGAGTTATTGGCCAGGAGCAAGCAGGTGGGACTAGTTTTGGATTATGTTCGGTATGGACTGGTTGGGCCAAAGGGTCTGTTTCCATGTTGTATGACTCTGTGACTCAATACTATTTGCCCTGTTTACACAGTGTACAGCAGATTCCACAGTACCACAGTACTGGTACACACAAGAGACAGCTGTACATGTGCAAAATTGCTTTGTGAATACACTCTGCAATCAAAATTAGAGGCATTATGTGGTGAAAAATGTGCAAAATAAGAAAAGAAACTGTGCACCCCAAATGTAGATTGTTCCATTCTGATCCATACAGTTTAGTGAGTTGCACTATTCATTGATGCTGCCACAAATAGGACATACAGCTCACACAAATTTCAACAGTGAATAGTGCAAGGGTGGAAGTTCATGACTTTCCTAAAGATGAAACCAAGTCGTTTTATTACATCTGCATATTTTACATCATGATATCATAAGAATCTTGCTGTGGCAACATGGAGAAAGGCGTGCGCTGAGTTTTCTCGGTAAGATCTACTGAACCCCAAGCCAAATAGGCAATGCCATGGCCACAGAAGGGCTTCCCCCGAATCAAGAGCCTAAGGGCAGAGGTGACAGTCAGTTTGAGAAACTCGCTGCATTTGGACTTAGCAGCACCATCCTGGAGTCGCATGTAACCAGCAAGTAACACAGGGATAGGGGTATTTCATGAAGTGGAGGGGCACGGCGGGGGGGGGGGGGGGGGGGGGGGGGGGTAGATGGAATGGCTCTTACTGGGCCCCTCTTTACCATCCGCCAGCCCCACAATGAGGCACCGAATGTCTTTGATCAAAGGAATCCCTGGAGGTGATGGACTGAGAACCCAGTTTCACCGATCATGCACGTCAAAAAGGCAACAGGCCTGCCTGCATTAATTCCACCTGGATAAATCCCAACGCGGGCAAGATGAGGCCCTGAAGTGGTCAAAAGGGTGGTTAAAGAGTTTAGTGCACGTACCTGACAAGACTCGAACCGGATAGCTACGAGGAAATTGTCTTTGTGCAGTTTGTCTTCAGTATTATTAAAGCCAGCGGATTCAACTTCGGGAGGAAAGTTATGCTGCAACCAGTCCATCCAGGAGAGCCCTTGACGTTTCAACATATTCTCCTCATTGATTTTACGCATTTTGCTGCGGAATTCTTTAACCTCAGGGTCTGTTAGTGCATCAAACTCATGGAGACCTAGATCCCAACAACAACTATTAGGCTATCACATCAGTACAATCAGAATCTTGTTTTGTTTTTGGTCAGTTTAAATACTTAAAATGCCTCTGCCAGACAGTCAAATTGTTCTGCTCCCAAGTTTAGGATTCCACGTTATCAAATGGTGACTTAGACCCCAGACTTGGGTAAAGAGCAGTGCAGAAAAGGAAATGCTACCTATTCTTTACTCTATATTTTCTGAGAAAACAACAGTCCAACATATCATTTGCAGTCTTTTTCTAGGCCTTCTGGTGTCTCTTCCCACAGTGCACTGAGATTTTGCTGAGAATCATGGGAGACAACAGCCTAGAAATGACAGTTCTGTTTACGTAAATGAAAAAAGGAAAAGACACAGAGCAATGATTAACAATTTGCATTGTCAGCCAAACCTTCTAGTTAAGTGATACATCGCAAGATCTCTCCATATAAATAGGCTACAGCAGCGGTGAGGTTGATGTTAGCATAGACATGTGTGTATGGGTTGTGTGTGTCTACATGGACTCTAGAGTCAGTGGGTAATGGACATGCGTCAGACATCCTGAAAATAAATTGCAGTCAAAATACAAAATTCTTCCCTTCCCAGATTGGGACCAATGTGTCCTAAACAATTATAAATCAAACACTTGAGCAAACTGACTGAAACTAATGGTAACTGAAACTGCTGTTTAACATGTTTGCATAATGGAGTGCGTCATATGATCAGTAAATGCCAACTCTTGCTCTCAACTAACTTCAAATGGAATTAATTGCATGTGGTGTATAATGAACGTCAATACATTGTCAACTGTTTTTATGCTGAAGTTGAAAACTCAGACTGCCATCAAATCCTTAGGACCGCTCAGGAAACCCATATTCTTTTGCTAACTCCCACCCACTGCCAAACTGGACTGGAAAACTCATGTTTGTGAGTAGACATTAAAATTGATTATGGCAATTTTCACCATATTGGAGGTTAAAATAGTTTACAAGCTAAAGCAATGCAAAGAATGCTTTACCTAGTGCTTAGTCAGTCCATTTGGAGAGACTGAAGGATTTTAAATGCTTAAGACATAAATTAGGCCCAAATCATATTTATTGAACGGTGATAGGACTCACGCATAGTTACTGAACAATTATTTAACTTGTACTGGCCAAATTCAGTATAACTGCCATAATGCCAATGTTGAATAAAGTCAATCAAATAAACTGATAAGGTAAACCCAATAAAGTGAAATCAGTTTTCATTTTGGGTCAGTTGATAGATCTTATCAGATGACACTGTTGGCAGCAGAAGGGCAAGCCACAAAACATTGCTCACGCAAAACAAATGACTGACCTACCTTTCCCAATAAGTACACCAATTTTTGAATCCAGTAGTTTTTCAGATCTGTTGCAGTTCCTGGCTACAAGCTTTAAAACAGGAAGGAAAGGTCTAACATCACACAGGCGACGAGACTCATCCTCCAGCTCTTCATGCACAGCTGACTGGTTTACACATTGAAACATATAGGAATCCTGTTCGCCAAGAACACTGTACAGTGGGTATGCCTGTGCCTGTGTCCATAGGA